GAAGAATTAACATCATAAAAATGTCCGTACTACCCACGGCAATCTGTAGATTCAATGCAATTCCTATTAAAATATCAAGGACATGTTCCATAGATCTAGAACAAGTATTCCAAAAAATGTATATGGAACCAAAAAAGACCTCGAATAACCTCAACAATCTTGAGAAAGAACGAAGTTGGAGGGATCACAATACTGAATATCAAACTATACTACAAAACCACTGTAATCAAAACTGCCTGGAATTGGCATAAGAACAGGCATATAGATCAATGGAACAGAAACAGAGCCCAGAAATCAACCTACACCTTTATGGACAATTAATATTTGACAGAGGAGGCAAGAGCATACAAGGGAGTAAAAACAATCTCTTTAATAAATGGTATTGGGAAAATTGGACAGGTGGATGCAAAAAATGAAACTAAAGAAAACAAGATGGCGGCATAGGTAAACACCTGAAATTGCTGCCTCACACAACCACTTCAAAAATACAACTAAAAGACAAAACGGACATCATCCAGAACCACAGGAAGGCTGGCTGAGTGGAAATTCTACAACTAGAAGGAAAGAGAAAAGCACACTGAGACTCAGAGGAGGTGCGGAAGTAAACTGCAGAGGTACGGAGGCTCGAGTGCGGAAAGGGCTGGCAATGAAGGACTCCGGTGTCTTTTTGAATCGGGAGGGAGTCACAAGCTCCCAACTGCTCTGAACTCCAGTTCTGGGCGAGTCTCTGGGAACCCAGACTCATATGGGGAGAAACTGGACTCTCTGGCATCGGGTGGAACTCGGCAGCTTTCTCTCAGAGGTGCTTGCAGCGATTACCGCGGGACACTGAGACCCAGGGGCCTCTTAGGGCAGGGCTGAGGAGCAGCCATAGTTGTTTGCTCCACCCTGTTGATTCTCTGAGACCCCGCCCCACCCAAGCTGCGGCAGAGGCTTTTGCATATGAATGGGCTGGCCCTTTGAGATCTAAAATTACCTAACAAACTGCAGCTGAGTCAGAGAGACCCAGAACATCCAAAAGAAGGCTCAAGGCCCCACAGGAGCTTGCATTGCTTCACAGCTGGGCCTCATCTGGGCACCTCCAAACCCCAAACAAGGAAGAGGAATCTGCAGATCTCTCCATAGCTCCTGCTGGGTAGCCTCAGGCAGAGGCTAAATTAGCACCTCCTTAAAGATCCAAGAGCCCGTGTACCCAGTGGTCAGATTGGGACCATCCAGATTACAACTCCTCAGATCCATAAGGAACACACTCAGGGGGCAGACTCAGTGAACACCAAAGCCCCACTGAAGCAAGTCTTGCCCCATAAGGGTGTCTTCAGCACAGAAGTTCTCCCACTGTAGACAGCTGATTCTCACAGAAAATTGGCCTGGAGGTCAATTCCTCCCAGTGATACCTACAACAATCAAGGCTTAATTACAACAAGACTGTGCACACAGCCCACAAAGGAGTGCACCAAGAGTGTCTACCTCAGGTCATTGGGGAGGCTGAGCCACTGGGCACTATAGGACACCTAGCACACAAAACCACTCTATCAACACAGGGAAGCATAAAAAATGGGGAGACAAAGAAACAGATCACAAATGACAGAAATGGAGGAAAGCAAACTATTGGATATAGAGTTCAAAACCACACTTACAAGGTTTTTCAAGAATTTTCTAGAAACCCCCGATAAATTTAGTGAGATCCCCGAGGATATGAAAAAGGACCAACTAGAAATTAAGCATACACTGACCGAAATAAAGAATAATATACAGAGATCCAACAGCAGACAAGAGGATCCCAAGAATCAAGCCAAAGATTTGAAATACGAAGAAGCAAAAAATACCCAACCGGAAAAGCAAAAAGCAAAAAGAATACAAAAATATCAAGATAGTGTAAGGAGCCTCTGGGACAACTTTAAGCGTACCAACATCCAAATTATAGGGGTGCCAGAAGAAGAAAGAGAGCAAGATATTGAAAACCTATTTGAAGAAATCATGATAGAAAACTTCCCCTACCCGGCAAAAGAAATAGACTTACAAGTCCAGGAAGCGCAGAGAACCCCAAACAAAAGGAATCCAAAGAGGACCACACCAAGACACATCATAATTAAAATGCCAAGAGCAAAAGACAAAGAGAGAATCTTAAAAGCAGCAAGAGAAAAACAGTTAGTTACCTACAAGGGAGTACCTATACGACTGTCAGTTGATTTCTCAACAGAAATTATGCAGGCCAGAAGGGAGTGGCAAGAAATATTCAAAGTGATGAATATTAAGAACCTACAACCAAGATTACTTTATCCAGCAAAGCTATCATTCAGAATTGAAGGTCAGATAAAGAGCTTCACTGATAAGAAAAAGCTAAAGGAATTCATCACCACCAAACCAGTATTATATGAAATGCTGAAAGGTATTCTTTAAGAAGAGGAAGAAGAAGAAAAAGGTAAAGATAAAAATTATGAACAACAAATACATATCTATCAACAAGTGAATCTAAAAATCAAGTGAATAAAAAATCTGATGAACAGAGTAAACTGGTGAATATAATAGAATCAGGGGCATAGAAAGGGAGTGGACTGACAATTCTCAGGGGGAAAAGGGTGTGGGGGGTTTGGGAAGAGACTGGACAAAAATCGTACACCTATGAATGAGGACAGTGGGGGGGGGGTAAGGGCAGAGGGTGGGATGGGAACTGGGTGGAGGGGAGCTATGGGGCGGGGGGAGAGGAACTGTAATAATCTGAACAATAAAGATTTAAAAAAAAAAAATGAAACTAGACCACCAACTTATACCATACACAAGAATAAACTCAAAATGGATAAAAGGCTTAAATATAAGTAACAAAATCATAAAAAATCCTAGAAGACATAAGAAATAGTCTCAGACATCTGGCATAGCCATATTTTACTGACATATCTCCTAGGGCAAGGGAAACAAAGGAAGAAAATAAACAAATGAGACTACATCAAACTAAAAAGTTTCTACACAGCAAAAGAAACCAACAAAATAAAAAGGGAACCTACTATATGGGAGAACATATTCGCCATGATACATCTGATAAGGGATTAATTTCCAAAATACACAAAGAATTTATATAACTGAACACCAGGAAGCAAACAATCCAATTAAAAAATTGGCAAAGGTCCTGACTAGACATTTCTCTAAGGACTACATGGCCAATAGACATATGAAAAAATGCTCAACATCACTATTCATCAGAGATGTAAATTAAAACTACAACGAAGTATCACCTTACACCTGCCAGAATGGTTACCATCAATAAATCAATGAACAAGTGCTGGTAAGGACGCAGAGAAAAAGGAATCCTGGTGTACTGCTGGTGGAAATGCAGACTGGTGCAGACACCGTGGAGAACAGTATGGAGTTCTCTCATCAAATTAAGAATGGAACTGCTGTTTGACCCATTGATCCCACTTCCGGAAATATATCCTAAGATAGATTCCAATAAACACCATTCAGAAAGGATATCCATTGTGTAAATGTACCACAGCTTTTTTATCCACTCACCTATTGATGGGCACTTCAGAAACAAGATCTGAAGTGCCCATCAATAGGTGAGTGGATAAAAAAGCTGTTGTACATTTACACAATGGAATACTAAGCAGCTGTAAACAAAGGAACTCTCTTACTCTCTGTGACAGCACGGATGGAACTGGAGACTTAGAGTTCAGAGGGGGGGTAAGTGGGGGGACCGGATCAAAGAAGGTGAAGAGAGTAACCAAAGAACACATATACATAGTCCAAGGACACGGACAACAAAGTGGTGAAGGTCAGTGGTGGAGGTGGGCAAAGCAGGGGAAAATGGGGAACATCTGTAATAGTGTCAGCAACAAAAAAAGGGGTGTTAATGGTATGGGAATTTAGATATTAATTTTTTAAAAAGTTAAAAACAAAACTTCTCCCAGTTTCAGCTATGCTTTGCAGTGAATATTTATTAGCTATTTTAGAAGGCACCCCATTGCTTTCTTTCTCCTCCTGTTCAGATACCAATACTATGCAGGGATTGCTGGTGGTGGATTCCTCTGCACTAATATTTAAATTTGTGGAAATAGCTTGTTACCCAGTTTTGTTGTGTTGTTCATGAAGTTTTGGTTTTGCTACCTAGTTGTTCTGCTGGTTTTATGTAGAGATGTAGAAAGATTGAAAACTATGATGCCCCTCCCCAATATCTTGCCAGAAGCCCCTCAACCTATTCATTTTTGCAAATTAGTCAGCAGATGGGGATCAGAAGTCCCCAAGTAATAAGACCCTGAGACAAGTTCCTAGGGTCTTGAGGGCTGGGCAGGTTGTGGATCCATGAATGGGGGGGAAACTGACTTCAGTTTCCTTCCATCTGGGTAGATTTCAGAAGTGTTTGGGACCATCAAAGCCGTAACTGCTGAGTAGAGAGAAGGCAGGCAGATTCTAGAGTTCTAACTCTGGCAGTGCCTTCTCTCAGTCACTTACTTTTTCTGGGCCTCACTTGCCTCAACATAAAATCTGACTAGGACTGCATACCTTGCATATTTGTTAGCTTCTTTTGTTCACAAACATTCATGAATTACATGACACATAGTAGGTGCTCAAGAAAATATGAGTCCCCCCTCTCCCCCTCTATGTCCACAGTGTTTTCTTGACCATTTCAACCTTAATGTCCATTGACGAGAAGTACAGAAAACTAAATTCCTATGATGTTTCTGTAACACCACTCAGTTCCAGGGGGTCCCAATGACCACCACAAAGCATGTCAACTTGACATCCACAGCAAAGGAGGCAGGTAGGCAGGCTGCTGCTGCTGCTGCCTTGCCAGTGCCCTGGTCTTCTCCAACTTAGGAGCTGGCAAGGAGGAACCAGTGCTAACCCAGTCTTTGTCTGGCTTCACAGCAAAGAAGGTCAAAGCTGCTCTACCAACCATGTCTGATCAGCAGCCCCTCCCCTGGCCCACTCTCTAGGGGATCTACAGGAGACATATGGCCAGTCAGCAGAGCTACCCTCTGCAGGCAGGCAGGGTCCAGACTTACAGTGTGAGCATTGTTGATCTTCTTCACGTCCCACTGGCCTTCCCCAGTGTAGGTCAGCAGGGAGATGGCCCCATCTGAGCTCCCACAGGCCAGGATTAGGCCGTAGTCATGGGGGGCCCAGCACACAGAATTTACTGCAGGAAGGAGGGAGGCACAGTGAGCAAACTTTGATTTTCCAGATTTACCATTTTGCTAAATTTCTAAAAACAATTGCAGGGACCACCAGAGGGGAATTGTAACTTTGTCAACTGAAGAAATTTAAAATCCACCACCTGCTAGTATCATTTCCTAAACTAATGCCTATATTAACAAAAAGTAGGCTGGACAATTATCTGAGAATAAAGGCCAGTACTTAAAATGAATAAACCTTAAAGAACTGTATTATCTTTGCTTTTCTCATTTTGCTCTGGACTGGCTTTAGTCTTCTTAGGGCCTATCTCCCATGTGGACGACCAGCAAAAAAGCCAACCCAAACCCAAGGGATCAATAAGAAGCATCACAAGGGGAAAAAATCGAGCACTAGCCAGAACAGAGGCCTCTCTCACACCCAAGGACCACCCTCCCACCTCCTCCTGCCGCGCTCAGTGTACCTGAGGAGTCGTGTCCTGTGTGTTCGTGCGTCTTCTCCCAGGTGCCGTTTTCCTCTTTCCAGATAATAACTTTTCGGTCATAGGAGCAGGATGCCAGGATATTGCCATACATGGGGTGGGCCCAGGCCACTTGCCATACTGGTCCCTCATGACTGCAAGGGGAGAGGGTCAGAGGCTGCTCAGATGGGCCAAGGAACCCACAGGGCTCTGCCAGCCCCTTCTGTGGACAGAAACGGCAGGCAGAGTGTGTCTCAGGACAGAACTGCCTAAGAATTTCAAAGGGAGACATAGAATGTCACTGCCAAAAGGGACCTCACTGAGCAGTGAGGACCTTGAGACCCAGGAGAGGCTTTTGTTGTTGTTAATTCTCACTTGAGGATGTTTTTCCATTGATTTTTAAAAAGAGTGGAAAGGAGAGGGAGAGATGCAGAGAGAAATATCAATGTGAGAGAGACACATCGATTGGTTGCCTCTGCATACACTCCCTGACCAGGGCCAGAGATTGAGCCTGCAATCAAGGTACGTGCCCTTGACCGGAACTGAACCCGGGACCCTTCAGTCCATGGGTCCACGTTCTATTCACTGAGCCAAACAGGCTAGAACTAAAGAGGCGCTGTAAGTGAGGCAGGACTCTAAGTTAGCCTCTCAGTCCCAACCCAGCAGAACCCTCACTTGCTCCAACACCTACTGTCATCAGCAGAGTCACTGATCAATCTAGGTTTTGCACCCACAAGCACTAAGTATCTGTAGAGTGAATCATTTATCCTCCCAAATGGTCAACTTCTTGAGGCAGCAGTATCTGTTTTGTTTTGGTATTTTCTGCTACTCTTTTAAAAAAAATTGCTCAAAAGGTACGTCTCTTATCTTCTGATCTTTGTATGTTCACATGTTAAGTATCATCTGAGCATGTACCCTGTGCCAGGCTTGGTGCTGGGGCCATCTCTGGGTTCAGGGAAAAGTGGGCACCCAGCACATGAGAGGTAACTCTGCTTACAGCAAGCATGTCAAACTCGCGCCACACAGCGAATATTTTTGCAGCCCAGCTAATATAATGTATGTAAGAAATGTTTTAATAAAAATTTAGTAATTTAATTTAACAATATCCTGTTATACACAATTATTAATAACAAACTACAATGTTCACTAATGACTGATTACTATAATTGTGTGCATTCATCTCCCTTATGTGCTTTACATGCAGGTGCACCATTTCTCTCCACTCATATTAGCAGTGAATATTTTAGCAGCCAATTGCCACTCATTAGTCTTGTACTGACTTGTTTGGTGTGCATAACAGGAAATATTTCGCTTTTGGAAAACAAAAAAAATAGGCTTATTTGTGTTACACTTATTAATTTGTACAGTTATCCAGTGTCTGGTAAGATAATGTTCAAGAGAAAATATTTTTATTAAAATTTTCTATTATTTTATGTTAAGTTACTCATTAATTTCAGCCCTTTGTATTTAGCATGCCTCTATCGAAATAAACCTACATTTGTATGAAAATTGAAGCTTTTGTCTTTTTGTGGCCCATATCAACTTAAACCTTGCTTATTTGGCCCGTGTTAGCCTTTGAGTTTGACATGCGTGGCTTACAGGGCCAGGTTCTCTCACGCCCCCTCTCCACTCACCGGCTGCTTTACTTTAGGCAAGGACCATCTTCCCTATGGCTTAGTCTCTTAATGGAGGGATAAACAACACCTCTTTCATAGGCTGGGCATGAGGGAAATATCTGTGACAATTCACATAAAAAGCTTGCTTGGTACAAAAAAAGCCCCACACTCAATGTCTGTCACTATTACTGCTGTCCCTGCTTCTCCCTCACCCCAAGTCTGCAGGCACTCAGAGTCTCCTCCTCCCTCTGGCTGGAACAATAGCACATTCCCAGGCCTTACAAAGGAGCTGCTAATGAAACTCTCAGTAGGTTCAAATATCCTACACCTAGCAAAGATTTAACCAAGGCAAAAAAATACTGGAGGTCTCAATTTATCCCTCCAATATTTCACATCTTTTGAGCATAAGAAAAACAGCAGAAAGGACTGAGTGGCAGCTGATGCGACCCCCTCTGTCAGGCTGGCAGCCCCCCAGGAGCTCTCTGCTCAGCCAGGGGGTGCTGCACAGAAAACGTGGCACTGGCCTCCTCAGTCACTTTTTTCTGGACACCCAGGAAGAAGGGAATGTCTCCCCAAATGGCTCCAAAGTTGTGTCTTCTTTAATTCAGTTAACTAGCACGTACTGAGCAACCACTGGTTAGGGGTTTTTAAATTCTGTTACACAGTCTGGTGAAGGTTATGGTCCCTTTTTAGAACAATGGATCAAATACATAGAGCTAGGATTAGACAAGAAACCCAATTATATTGAAATACAGTTATGAAAACGTTAAAGAACAAATATGATATAGTGACATGTGTGCAGGTCTAGCAACCACTATTTTGAGATAGCTACAACTGTAATGTGATAGGAAAATATCTGACTTCCACTGGTAACAGGTATTATGAATACTACTGTGATTTCCAGCCTACATCCTTCATGGAAGGAAATGCTAAATATCAGTCACTGAAAATAAAGATGATGCTCTCCTCCTGCCTCAGTTCAACCCCTGAATTCTATCCATGAAACCCTTGGAGATCCATGGGATCCAGGTTAAAAACCCCCATTTATCTGAAAGGCAGTGAACCGAGGGAAAGCAATAGAGATGTGGCCATAAAAATGACAGCCAGGCCCTAACTGGTTTGGCTCAGTGGATAGAGCGTCGGCCTGGGGACTGAAAGGTCCCAGGTTCGATTCCGGTCAAGGGCATGTACCTTGGTTGCGGGCACATCCCCAGTAGGAGGTGTGCAGGAGGCAGCTGATTGATGTTTCTCTCTCATCGATGTTTCTGACTCTCTATCCCTCTCCCTTCCTCTCTGTGAAAAATCAGTAAAATATATTTTTTTTAAAAAAATGACAGTCAGGATCTCAAGAATCTCAGTGGTGAGAAAGGATAAACATTTGTAAATATAAACTAATATCTGCCGTGGACAAACAGGCGGAATTACGGGATTTATATACTCACCATTACATTCTTACATTACCACCTTTCAGTGACACTTAGATCATGCTGAGTAAGCAAAAAAGGAAGTTTCCCACATTCAAAAGTAGCTACTGAAGGCTTGCTGGGAGTCTGGGAACAGGCAGCATCAGCTCATTTTGAGGGTGAGCGGGTGAAGGCTCCCAGATAAACTGACTCTTGTCCAAGATCTTCTAGTGGGCACAGGGGTGGCAGAGCTGGATTCACTCCTGGATCCATCAGCCCAGGATGCCAACTGAGGGCAGCAGGCTGGCTGGGACCCGAGTGTCCTCTCTGCTAACTGCACTGCGGGGCTGCTCTGCTCTGGCTCTCAGGCTTCCCTGCCCTCCCTGAAAAGCCCAATCATTGTCAGTCCTTGCCCACGGTTGGCTGCACTCACCCCCTGAGGTCTGCGATGAGGATCTGCCCTCCGTTGCGTACATCAAAGATTTTGACGGACCTGTCTGATGAGCAGGTTGCCAGGCGGGTGCCATAGTAGTCCATCTGGGCATCGTGCTGCAAAGGGAGGACAGCTCAGGAAGCCTGCAGGCTGGGTGGGTGGGGGCCAGTTACCAGGACAGAGAATCTAGTTTGGACCAGACTCTACCTGAAAGTAATCTAACCTCAAAGAATCATCACTATCAGGCAGGAAGCTAGCATGTCAACAATCTCACTTCTCTGACATGTAATACCTTTCCTAACGGGACAAGACAAACTATGCCCAGCTACTTGTAGACCCTTTATACACATGGGGAGCCCTTTCTCATCCTGTTCTGCAGGGTGGGTATGGGAGAAAAAAGCTGGCCTAGTCTCCTCAGCCCCCATTGTGTTTTGAGGCTCTGTGAGCTACTGGGGACAACACTTGGAGTTCAGCTCAGCCCAGAACCAAAGGCTAATGCTGACCCAAAGGAGAAGAAATGGAATCAGTGTGGCCCCAATCAGGTACTCCATCATGCACATCTGGCCTAGACACAGGGTGCTATTCAGCACAGCTCCTTCCTCCATCCATGGCCCTGGATCCGTTGTGGACCTTTGTTCCTGGGTTTCCGCTTGGCCTTTTTTAAAAAATTTTTTCCTAGTAATGTGCCCAGCACCCCAGACTGTCCACATACATCTTAAATGTCACTCGTCCAACCACTTCCGAGATGCTGACGGGCTATCAGAACCTCTGCCCACAGCTACTTGCCCAGCTGGGGCAATGACTCCTCTGAGTCACTACGCCTGCTGCCCCACTGTTTGCTGGCCCTTCCTATTCCAACAAATGGCACTTTCTTCAGCTATCCCACCTTGTGGATTTCAAGAACTACTAGCTGTCACTCTTGTGGTCATCAGGAACAATTATACCCTTTCAACAGAAGCAATCTGTCCCTGTGCTTCAACATTCTTTCCTCGCCTCCCTACTTAAAGAAAACTTCCCGATTCTTCTTGGAAGTCAATGCAGGTGTTAACACATTGCGCACCGCATAGAAATCTCTAAGACATACGCCAGGGACCGCACGTTTTTGGGCAAACTGCACGTTATTTAAATCATCATAATGCACTTTAGGTGTTGTTTTTCAATAATTATAACATTTTTATTTACAAAAACAATTAAACAATTAAAGTTCCTAGTACTTTTTAATGGATGGTACTGCGTAAAACATTTTCCTCTATGAAGAGGGACCAAACAAAATTTACCTAAGTATCTAGATTCGCTCCTTTTTCCATGGGCGTGAAAAAACGAGAACACTCGTGAGCGGTCCTAACAGATGGCGCGCGAAACACGAGAAAACTCCTGAGCGGTACGGAATGTGTTAAGACAGATCTTCTCTGTAAATGTACTTCTGAAGCATTTCTCCTATAGAGTGCTATCACGCACTTTGGGAGGAAGTAGGGCACAGTACCTAACAGATTTAAATCCTATCTCCTCAGCTTATCTGTTGTACAACCTTGGAAAAATTACCTAGTCTCCGTGAACCTCAGTTTCCTTATCTTTAAATGGGGCTACTTCAAGGGTTGTTATGAAGGTTAAATGAGATAATGAATGGAAAGTATTTAGCATGGGATCTGACACTTAGTGAGCATGCAGACATTAGTCATTACTATTTTGCCTTATCTGTTCCTCAAATCGAACCCACACAAGCAGGTATCACATTCATATTTCTCCCATTTTAACTATGAGGAAATCAAGGCTGGCTCAGAAGAGTCGAGACTGGCTAAGGAGTCTCAGACTGGATCTTATTCCTGATGGTGCCACACTAACTCCAAGGAGGTGTGATCTTAGAGCTAGACCACAGAGAACATAGACAACTCTGAGAAGGCCCAAAAGAACCACTGGTGGGCAGGAACCCTGGGAGGAAATGCTGTAAGCTGACCTGGGTCTTGCTCAAAGGCTGCCTGGACTGCTTGACCCTCATGAAGCAGAGTCTGCATCTTTGCTGTGGGAGACTTTAATCTTTGAACCTTCTCCTATAGCCCTGTTGTCTTATACTGAGCCCATGTTTGCCTCAGGAAACACCCTGAGTTAATGACTTCTGGTCCAAAGGTCCTTGTCTGGCACCTCTGTCTGTGGTGGTTCTACCTGACTCTGCCTTGGGCTTTTGCCAAGCCTGCCCCCTGCCTTCATATTGAGTCATCTTCCTACTCTCTTTTCTTTTAACCCCCTTTTCAATGGGGCTAAGAAGTGACAGCTGGAGAAAGACAGGTAGGAAGACTGTTGTCAATCTCTGTACCTACTCAGCCTGCATCCCAGACCCGGTTACTTTGTTGGTCAGAAGACTGAGGCCTTGAGTTACAAGCCAGTCCCAGTTTCCTCCCACCAGAGTGACCAGACTGTCACAGCCCTGCTAACTGAGAGGGCATTGCTGGGAGACTGACTATATCCCTGAAGCTGCAGTCTGACTGGCAAAGGCTGCAAAGCCACACTGGAATCACGAATGCTTCCCTCCCACAGAAATGCCCAGTTCCACAGCCCGTGAGGGAGGGCTGAAAGAATACTTACAATCATGTCCTCATGGGAGGTGTCCACAGTGTTAATTACTGACACCTAGAACCAGAGATATCATTGGTAAATGAACTGATGGCATTTAGAATGCAATCATCTTATTAAACCCACCAATCATTTCTAAAGTTCTTAACTGCATTTGTTCATGCATCCACTCACTCATTCAATCCAGTACCTTCTTTTTGCCAAGCACTGTGCCAGGAACTGGAGATACAGATACAAATAAGAGGTGCTTCTTGCCCCTGACAAGCTTGCACACAAGTAATCCTAACACAGCAAGATAATGACTTTAAAAGTGGTTTACATGTGCTATAGCAGCCCGAAGGGCTGGGGGTGTTGGACACAAACTGGGACTTAGATGATAAGGAATTTGCCAGGTGGCACAGGAAATAAAAGTACAGTCCAAGCACAGGGCATACCATGAGCGAAGAGGGGAGATGCAAATAGTCCTGGCTACCTGTGAGGGGGAAGAGAGACCCCGAGGGAGTAATGAGCAGCTTGTAGGTCTGGAGCACAGCTGCCACAGTGGTCACCATTCCACCCATTCTTTGAGGTCCAGATCAAATTATGCCCCCTTCTCGAAGATCCTCAGGCCCCCCTGGCTGTACTCCTCTGAGTATCTTCAGCACTAAATGACTACAACCCTTTATGCTGTTTCTTCTCCCAACTAGAAGGCATGCTCCCTGGAGCTAGGCTCTGTGTTGTCTGCAGTTTTGAATCCTCTCAAATCATCCAGCAAAGTGCTTTGCAACCAGAAGGAACTCAGTGACTAGTTGCTGAATGAGTAAGTAAATGAACAAAAACAAACAGTTTTACTTTGCTCAACCTCTACTCTCGTAAAACTGGTGGGATAGAAAAGGACTGAAAAGGTTTCAGTTCGGAACTGTATTTCGTAGCATTTCCCCCATTTCTTCTTTTTCCAGCCCAAACCCTGGAAGCATAAAATCTAGCTCGACTTTTCAGAAAGGCAGACACTGGAGGAGGATGGCTGCAGAGCAGTTCAAAAGGTACCACCAAGTAAGCACAGGCTCTCTCATCAAATTCAAATTCTGGACTCTCTAAAGAGTGGGCCCCCAGGTCCACAAAGACAAGCAAGCAAGACAAAAAGAAATCCCCTTGGTGGGCCAAGCTAGCCAGGTCCCCAAGTGCTTTCACATGTGCCCTGGGAAGGATGAACGGCAGTCGATTAGAGCTGTCTGACAGACTAAGGAACTGAAGAAACCCAGCGGAGAGGAAGGACTTACTAAAGCAGCCCTGGGCAAACTACGGCCCGTTTGAAATGAATAAAACTAAAAAAAAAGACCGTACCCTTTTATGTAATGATGTTTACTTTGAATTTATATTAGTTCACACAAACACTCCATCCATGCTTTTGTTCCGGCCCTCCGGTCCAGTTTAAGAACCCATTGTGGACCTCGAGTCAAAAAGTTTGCCCACCCCTGGACTAAAGCGGCGGAGCTAGTTAAACGTGGGGCTGGGCAAACTCCCAGTCCACAAGCATCCCAATCCATTAGGCTGCCTACCTAGGACATAAAGCAGGTGTTACCCCGAATTCCCTAAATTAACGCCCGAGGGCTAAGTAAAGCCAGGAAGGAAGTTTACTAGTAGCTTCCTATCAGGTCACCAAAGGACCTTAGAGATAACCAGCACTTATTTGTTAATCCTCATCCCAGGATATTTTTTTCTATGGATTTTTTAGAGCGAGTGGAAGGGAACGGGTAGAGAGAGGGCGGGAGAGAGAGAGAGGAGGGAGAGAGAAGAGGAGGGGGAGAGAGGAAGGGAGAGAGGGAGAGAGAGGAGAGAGAGGGAGAGAGAGGGAGAGAGAGGGAGAGAGAGGGAGAGAGAGGGAGGGAGGGAGGGAGAGAGAGGGAGGGAGGGAGGGAGAGGAGGGAGGGAGGGAGGGAGGGAGAGAGAGGGAGAGAGAGGGAGGGAGGGAGGGAGGGAGGGAGAGAGAGAGAGAGAGAGACTGCCTCCCGCACGCACCCCAACTGGGGCTGAGGATCCAACCTGCAACCCTGGTACCTGGCCTTGACCGGGATCGAACCCACAACCCTTTGGTGTGCGAGCTGACGACACTGGCCAGGGCTAACCAGCATCTATTTTAACGACTCTCACCACCAGCCCGGATTGGGGAACCCAGTGCTTTGGAGCAGCGGCCGCCCGCCGGGGGTCCCCGAGGTCCAAGGCTGGCGAGCGCTGCTGCGGGGACCGGAAGTGTCCTGGCCGTTGTTAAGTGGAAAGCGGCAGCTCTCAAAACACACCCGCTCTTCACAATCAGTGCGTTAAACATCCAATGAGAAAGAACTGACCGTCGAGCACAGGGATTGCCAATTCTCAGAGGAAGAACCAGAGGCTCGGACGAGCAATGTAAACCGAGCCGCCGCGCCGAGCAAACGTTCAACCCAAAGTCCTGGCACCTGGGCTCCCCAGGTTTCCTAAAACCTCCCGGCACACGCGTGTTCCTGGGAGCACTGGTTTCCCGAACCCCCACTCGGTGCCAGGCTCAGGCCAATGCTTTCATCCATCAGTTCCCACCCAGTCACTCACTCAGCGAGGAAGCGTGGAGAGAACCTACACCGTGGGTTCCACAGACTTGAAACGCCGAGGCCCTGCCCTCAGACACTTCGCCCACCCTGACACGCTTCTTCCAGTGCCCATTACCCGGGGGGCCCGGCCCCGTCCCACACACACCACTGAGGAAGGTGAAGAGGGTTGGGACTTCGGCCCCGCCACCTCCCGCTCGGAGGGGCGTCCTCCTCGTCAAGTGTCGGTAACAGCACCTACTTTACGGTAAGGGCTGTGAGAGGGCTGAGACTGCGAACAATGCTTGGCATTTACTAATGGCACAGTAGTTCCTACAATGTCCCTGGTTTTGTTTTCCATTGTTGGGGGTAGGGAAGGAAGGAGCGAAAGGAGCGGCCGGTAGAGTTCCGGGCCTCTCCCCGCGAAAGGTACCGAGAGGCAGGGCCGGGGGCCCCCAACCTCTACGCGGTGGGAGCTGAACGGCCCGGGCCTGGAACTTGAACCTCAGCGCGGTCGGCGGGGGACGGTCAGACCAGGCGGGGACCCCGCTCGGCGTTCCGGGCCGCAACACTCACCATGGCTGCAGCGGCGGTGGCTCCCGGCCTCGGACGTGGCAGCTCCCAGTGGCGCCTCCGACACCTCACTTCCGGCGCCTGGCTGGCCGGCCGGGCTGTAGCGCAGGAGTCTCCGGGTAGCAACGCGCTCTGCTCGCACAAAGGTTCCGGGCTGCAGCGCCGCGCCCTCCTCTGGGCCCTCCTCTCTCCGTGAGGGGCGCGTGAGACCCACAGTGGGCCTCTTGTTTCCAAGGCTTTAGGTACTGAAGCTCTTCTCTCCTGGCCAACCCTGAACCCCCCCCCTCCCCCCCATCCTTACGTGATAGAAAGGATTCCTAACTACAAAGCTGTATTACCTGGGATTCTGGGTGCGAAGGGCCTTATGATGAACACTAAAGGATGATCAATTTTGGGGGGAGTGGGTAGACTGGTCCTAGTGCTTCCTTGTTGTTAGTCCCTCCTCAGGATCCAAGGCTGGGACCAGGGGCCGAGAAGGCTGGGGGAATGCCCCTTACTAGAGGCTGAGCCCTCTTGCCCTGCCTTTTCCAAGCCATGGGATCCCTAAACTGCCTCTTCGCACAGTTCTGGGACCCGGGGAGTCTGGCCCATCAAGTAGATTTCCCCAGGCAAAGAGGACTCTCAGCCAAGCGTCAGCAGCGAGAGCTCAGGATCCACCCCTCAGTGTTCCTAATCCTGAGGTCCCTGGCTTCCCACAAGCACAGTGAGAACGCTGCACTCTGGATAGAGCCTGGGGCTCCCCTCAGGTCTGGCAGCCCTGGGCCCCTCTTGACAAGGAGTGTAGTGACTTGGGTGGAGCCTGGGCTCCCCTTGGGTAAGTCACAGTTCCTCAGTTCCCTCTTCTATAAAGGGGTGTTGTGGGGCGGGGGGAGACCCTGGCTGGAGATGGTCACTACTGGAGGGAAGATGTTAAGTCTCAGAAAGTGTGATAGATCCAGACCATTAAGGAGCTTTGGAGAAGCCAAGGGGAGTGGGTCTTACAAAATCCAGGGCTGGGCCTCTGGGCAGCAACCCACCTTCTCACCTCCACCTCAGCTTTCAAGACTCCTTATTTCCTTCGAATGAAGACATATTGCAGGGGTGTGAGGGGGTGGTGCTTAGAGTGGAGCAGGGAATAAAGAGGGCAGGGCTCTTGGGTTTCCTGTATTTCAAAGGATAGGCCCTCCCTGGCCTTGGATCTGTATTTGTATCACTGACTCTCTGGGTGATAAAGTCATCTCATGGTCTATGTGGCTCAGTGGTTGAGCATTGACCTATGAACCAGGAGGTCATGGTTTGATTCCCGGTCAGGATATATACTTGAGTTGCAGGCTTGATCCCCAGTAGGGGGTGTGCAGGAGGCAGCCAGTCAATGTTTCTCATCATTCATGTTTCTATCTCTCTCTCTCCCTTTCACTTCCTCTCTGAAATCAGTAGAAATATATTTAAAAAATAAAGTCATATCCTTCTCTCTGAGCCTCACTTTTCTTGAGTGGAAAATGGGAACAATGGCATATTAGGTATAATACAAATATAGGGGCATAGTTGTTATTGGAAGAATTCCTTGGTGTGGGTGTTGAAGTTGGAGAGATTGGGGATTTGGGACAAGCAATGCAACTATCTTATTCATTAAGGTATTTGCTGGTAGGACTGAACGGCATTATAACAGAGAGGTTTTGAGTGCCAATTCTGGCATAAAAACTGCTCTGAATCAGTACTCTATCTCCTAATTACTTGGTGGGCACACCCTCTACTTCTCTGAGCTGCTGTTTCCTCTTCTGTTAAGTGGGTATTACAATAATACCTCCTCTGAAAGTTGATGTTGGGATTAAATAGGTCCTGGATGTGAAACTGTTTGGAAGTTGGATGGGCCTGTGGTGCTTGATCTGGGGATCAATTCTCCCTGAAAAGAGCTGGGATTTAGTGCGTGTGTGTGATGTGTGCATGTGCAACCCTCAACCTTTGGACCAACATTGGGGATTAGGGTGCCAGGCCCCCTTCTGTTAACCTCCCCAGTAGGGGATGCCACCTACATCTTTTGTCCATATCTTCAATCACCTTGCTCTGGTTAATACCAGACCCCAAATCAGGCCATTCTGAGCTTTCCCAATTTATGCCCCTACCTCCCAGAGTCTCTGCTCCCTGAATCTCTTCCTCCTCCTCCTCCTCCTCCTCCTTCCTTTGGTCTCTTCACCCCAAGTCTTGCTGTCTGAGACTGTTAGCTGTGGAAGGTTAATGACTCCTGGCAGGCTAAACTTGTATCCCTCAAATGGTAGATGTTGGAAAGGTGTGACTTGCTGGAAGGAGAGAGACCACCCACTGAGCTGTACACCCTGGGGCAAAGTGCCTTCCCCTCCCAGGGACTCAGTTTCCCGAGTTCCGATCCACGAGGGTGGGGACCCAGTTGTCCTTTGGAAAAAGGCCTTGTGATGTGTACGGTGTCTGTGTTTCCACGTGTGCATTTATTGTTATTGCTCAGTATAGTGTTGAAAAGGCAGACAAATCCCATTAATTACAAAAAGCACAAGCCAGAGATACAGAGAAATAAAGAGTGTACAATAAGAGCACAGTCACTTCCCAGCCCCGATTGTCCCAGAACCCCCCTACCCAGAGCCTGGGCAGCTTGTGGAAGCTGGAGGCGGCACCATTTCCTCGCTACTCTGTTATAAAATATGTGCACACAAGAGTTAGCAAAGTGTGGCGACCCCCGAGAGGAAAGGTTCGGAGGGGAAGCACCACAGGCATTACAAAACAGACTTAGGGGGCTGAGAAGGGCAGCCTCAGATATCTTATTTTCAGCAGAAGGGCGATGGCTGATACTCAGGACCTAGGATCCCCCTCTCCCCACTTGGGCAAATAGGATCTCTACATCAAAACCAGGAGAGCTTGGTTTGGAACTTGGGAAGGACCTAGGGATTTCTGCTGTTGTCTGATTTAGGTCTTGGTTCTGGAAGACCCAAAAGCCTTCAAGAAATGCACCCCCCCCCCCCCCGCCCAGATCTTCTAATGGTGGAGTCTTGGACACTATGGAGAGAGTTTTGGATGGGAGGCATGTCACAGTGAGCCCAGCTGACAGCCTCCTGTAAGTAGAACAACAACAGTAGGGGGAGTCAGGGTGGTGAGAAGGTCCAGACAAGAAATTGCTGCACCCCAAAGGACGTATCAAACAACCACTGGAAACTTTGAATAAAGAGCAAAAAAGCAGTTGAGGAAAGGGAGGCAGGAATAAACATTTCTCCAGGAGGAGAATTAGACAACCAAGTGGGTGACTCTTTGGGTCCCAAACTGGGATTGGGGGTGGGGGGGGGGCGTTGGTGGCCTCTCCTAATGACACCCTGGCCGAGGGAGCAAGTGGGAGTATGAAATGAATGTTGGGCTTCCCTCAAGATTCAGGATGCCCCTTCTGTTTCTCCTCACAGGACACTCTATTTAGAGACCCCGAGTGGACAGTACTTACAATGGCAGGAAGATGTTTACACACAGAATGACAGGGCCCAGTATTTGAGGTGGGCGGAGGACTTGCAAAATTTTAGTTTACTGGGAAGAACAGATGTGAGAGAATAGTCAGGAAATTTTGTTAAGAGTGAAGAGTACTTATCCTACCACATGATAAAACATTATAACATATCCTACCATATAATAACACATTATATAAAGTGACAATAATTAAAGTTATGTGGCTGGTGCCAGATGAGACACCCAGAAAGGGAATAGAAGGTAAATTCAGAAATAGACCCACATCTATCTCTGCTATCAGCAGATAGCAGTATGATAAAGGTGACATTTCAACATGGTTGGGGAAAAGAGGGGCTGTTCACTGACTGGGATACCCAGGATAAGACAGGTCCAGAGTCCTGGCACCATTGCAGTCACTGCCATTGGTCTGGTCTCAGAAGTAGGACAACCTCCCTCTTGCCAACTCTATGCTCTGGTTGGGACAAGGGGCCCAGGGGCCATGGTGAAGGGGCCAGTCAAGGCTGCTTCTGAGTCAGGGAAAGGGCTGCCCAAATTGCGGGAAGGAAACCCCTCGGTTTCCGCCCTGCCTGCCTCCAAAGGCGGGTGACTCTACAGCCCCAGGGGTCACTGGATGGGCCCTCTGCTCCTCCCTCAGCTGTGGGGAGAGACAACTTGGTGAGCTTAGACCTAGAACTGAGTCTCCTCCTGGAGCCCTTGTCCGGAGGACAGAAAGGAAGCTAAGTGGACGGTGCAGTTATAGAAAGAAGTATTAGTTACAGGATATATATTTACTAGATTCTGTTTGATTTTTTTTTTGCCTTTTTTTTTTTTTTTTTTTTAAACCACACACATTTCAGAACCACAGTGCGGGAGTAAGAAGAGTCAGCAATTGAAAGCATTGCATAGTATTAAATGAACAGAGACGGTGAGTTCTTTATTTACAATTATTGTCTAGATAAAAAAATTCATAAAAACAGATGAATGGTCATAAATTATTTACCCCCTAATGGGGTGAACTGCCAAACGTACCCCATGCTGCTAGATATAGGACACAGAGTGCAAGCTTTATGTACTACAGTGAGTTTTGACAAACCCAGTCATTTCCTGTGTGTGTGTATGTGTGTGCAAGCGTCAGAGGGAGGGTGTGTGCGTGTGTGCGTGTGCGTGAGCATCCATCATTCCTGACAAGAAAAGACCAACCCTAACGCGGGGCATTCTCGGTAGCTCCCGTGGCTCCCCGTTCCCCCAGCTATGATCCACTCGGAAACCCCTTCTGTTTCCCTTGCATCCTGGCCCCAAGTAAATAGGGAGCGTGGTGTGCAAGGGCAGCTTTCCCAGGGCCATGGGATGAGGTCAGGGGCACAGGATTGGAACCAAGAAGTGGGGAGATGGAAAACCTTGAGAAAGGAAACTACAAAACCCCCATGTTCCAAGGCTGCCCAACATTCTGCATGTGCAGGGCTTTCCTTTCTCGGCAGGCTGGCTTTTGGTGGTGTTGGTATTGGAATCCAATAAGCCTACTGAGGGCTGGTCACCCCTTTGGGGATGCAGTTTCCTCTGCTGGGTAGGTTCAGAGATATTCCTTCTCGACATTCAGCATTCAGGCGATGCTCCTGCGCAAAGAAGGTCCTCCTTCCAGGAAGATTTCGCCAGGTGGGATGGGCTGACTTGGGGTCCCACACCCTCAGGTTTCTCCAGATGTAGGCCCTCCCAGCTGACTATGGCTCTTTTCCCGCGTGGCTCTCATCTTGTGTGTGGAAGAATTCTCTGGGCCTGGAGAAGGGAAGGGGCCGG